TAATAACAATAATAATAATAATAATAATTTTTATTTGGACATGATACATAGCTGTACAAGGAATTATAGTAGTTGGGTGTACGTGCCAAAAGCCCCTTGTATGTAGAGCATTATGGGCAGCTTAAAATTAACTTAAGATTAACTAAGCTATGATAGATTCAGTGGTAATAATTGCAGTAAACAATTTACAACATGAAGTACAACTGAGTATTTTAAACAATGAAATTTGAACATTTCAATTATGAAGCATTATAGTTTGTAAAGATTTTGCAGACTAGTAAGAAATGAAGATCAATACAGGAAGGTCCCATTTGTATGATAAGTGAAAACTGCCAACAAGTGGAAAAGAAAGTTTTTTAAATCACTGAATGAATCTAAAATGCCTGATAACATGTCTACACTAGTCTGCAAAGATTTTGCAGACTAGTGGTTTACATATAAGTGACAGGTTGGAAAAATTAGCATAAAAAACTAAAAATGCATTTATTGAATGCATATTTGTGCAATATGAAATTTCCTGTCACCCAACCTTGGTGGGAGATGACTATATACAAAATTCCACAAACTGACAATCTCAGAGACTAACCATTAACAATAAACCATTATTGATGGGAATTTTAACATTACTCTCAGGTCAACTTGATGACCCTTAACATCGTATATGCTCTCCTTCTAATACCCACGGTTACCCAACTTGACCAGAATTATTTAAATACATATCTGATTCTTCATTAGACCATAACCCCCCCCTCCCTAAAAAAAAACACACCAACTACTATCCAAACTTCTCAACCATAAACATCACTAAGACACAGAGACAGACAGACAGACACAATCACATTCAACCACCACAAAACAGGACCACTTAACTTTAATCCCTTCAGGGTCCAAGGCCCAAAATCTGAAGTGGTGCCCCAGTGTCCAAGAATTTTCAAAAAAAAAAATTTGTTATTTTTTCTTATGAAATGGTACAGAATCTTTTTGTGAAGTTAATAATACAAAAAGTAAGAAATTTGATGGAAAATTTATGAAATTATGCTCTCACGAATTTTGATGTGTCAGCGATATTTACGAATCGGCGATTTTGCCGACTTTGACTCCCATTCTAGGCCAATTACATTATTCCAGTCGACCAAATTCTTAGCTATTTCACTAGTATTACTTCTATTCTATCGATTGAGCACAAGAAATTGCCCAGACAACTGTTTCAACTACAAAATAAAGTGATCGGAAATTGGTAATTTGGCCAATTTAACACAAAGTTCAAAATATTCCAATTTCAAAATAGGGTCCAGAATAAACAATGTAGGTATTCCTGGCACTAAACTAACATTTCCTCTGTTCACTAGTTACGTTTTGAGGCTTAACAAATAAATTCCATTTTTATTTTTTATTCACAATGAATTTTTATTCACCAAAAAATAGAAGGTTTACTGTTATGCAATATTGTATATTAGACCCACCAGCTGGCGTGTATTAGACGTGTGAGGTCGTTTGTTTACTCTTGAACATCGGCAAAAACTTAACATTTCCGCTACTTTGAGCTCAGTTTGAGCTTCAGTTGCAAAGTCGCTGTTTTAATCGAAAATCATGGTCTCAGTTTTTTTCTCTCATGTTCTGCAGGATTTGTTTTATGTGGTGCACACATACCACATAGATGTATTCTCTCATATCTAGGCCCAAATGTACCACTCACAGTTTATCAGTGAGCTGAGCTCATGGCGTAGATCTACGGTTTGGACCCTGAACGTAAAGCCGTAGATCTACAGGACCAAAATTTGCTATATGGCAAGACGTCTTTCAAATACGGCGTGTCCCACCCAGTTTGTTCATATTCTCCGTGACCACATCTATTATATTAGGAAACTCCAAAATTTCAAGTATTTTAAAGTTACTTCGTATTTTATATGTACTCTGATAATTATACTTGTGTACCTGTACCTAAATATACTTACACACTGTGCTGGTGTGTAGGTACACATTAAAATCGCTAAGTCTCTCTCTACTCATGACGCCAATACTACGTAATAATAATCACTCTTGGGCACATTAAATGTCTTATTTTACATTAATATAGGCATTTTCATTAATCCATCTATGATATTTTCCTCAAAATTATATATGAAACCCATTACATAGCATATAAACATGATACATACACTCACAGAATAAAAATTGATGTAAATATGAGATTTGTTTACAAAGCGGCTGTGTAGGTAGTGACGGAAGAATTACGTTTTCTCTAGTCAAACTGGGGGATAACTGCAGAAAAACATTATTTTCATATGCCTTCACTCTATATATAGTAATTCAAGACCCTTGTGGGTTTAGTGCTTTTTATTATGATGATGACAATAATAATAATAATAATAATATCTCCATTCACCCTAAAAATGGTGTGTTGCTGTTTGTTTATTCTGTACTAACTTGTACACTATGTAAGAGTATTTGTATTGTGAGGTAATTATTATTATAATAAAAAAAATATTGTGAGGTAAAAGTTTTACAAACTCTTACAAACGTACGTGAATGAACTAAAAGCAGACACACATCAATATGCATTTATTTCACCTGACCAAGAGATCGCCCACTACCTGTTCAGTTTGTGTTCTTACATTGTCTGAACTCTGTATCTCGTTTTCTCTCTTGTTTACTCTTTCGTTAACTAGTTGGCTCTCACTGACAATGGCGTCTAAGCTTAGCTGTGATAATAAGAGGAGTCGTAAGCCTCTTGCTTTAAGTGCCAAGTTAGAGGATGATGGTGTGCCATTCTGATTTTATTCAATAAATGCCCTGCCACTCACCTCTCACACGTTAATATTAATATTTTAAGGTAAGTAATAAGTGTACTCTGTGTGTATCTTACCTTTTATTGTGTTTTTAATGCCTATTTCTATTGCTAACTTAATGTAAATTAGTGTAAACCTGTTGTCTGGCTTTTATTGCATATTTTATGTACTCTGATAATAATACTTGTGGACCTGTGTGGTAGCCGGGCAGAGGGACAACATTACGTTTTCTCTGCTCAGCCACCAGAGAAAACGTGTATAAATCTGCGTTTGGCCCAGCCACTCCGCTTTTGTTTACAATTTTCGGCATGAATTATTCATTACTTCACCCTTTGTTTATGATGGCATCTAAAAGTAGATGTTAGAAACAATTAAATTCAGTGAACAAGGTATGTCGATGCTAATAATAAGGCTCTGGGCCACAGTGTAGGTAGCTGGTAGGTGTAGCCCAGGCAGGCTACACCTACCAGCTACCTACACTGACTTCCTACAAATAAATACTACTCACTTCTCTTCCTATATTAAGACTACACATATTTTAAGGTAAATAATGAGTGTACTGTATGTGTATTTTAACTCTCTGGGCTGTTTTAAATATTGTATATTAAGTATGAGATGGGGAGCCAGGGCTACCTACACCTGGGCTACCTGCACCTGACTTCCTACAAATAAGTACTACTTGCCTCTCGCCCTACATTAAGATTACAAATACTTTAAGTAATGAGTGTACCATGTATGTATTTTACTTTTTGTGTTTTTTAATGCCTAGTTCTATTATTAACCTAATATAATTTAGTGTAAACTTGTTGTCTGACATTTATATGCATTTATAAATGGAAAAAATGGTGTTCTGCTTTCCGGCGATAGCCTGGAACCTAACCCGCTGTATAAGTGGGGCCCTACTGTATATTCAGGAGAAGGGGTTACTAGTCCCTTGCTCCTGGCATTTTAGTCGCCTCTTACGACACGCATGGCTTACGGAGGAAAAATTCTGTTCCACTTCCCCATGGATAATAATAAACATATTCCTAAAAAAATCAAGAACAAGTAGTCATACACTAAAAGTTTACTAGGATTCCTTAGCAAGGAATATGGCACATTAAATAGAGGTTGTGTTTACCTCCTATGAAAAAACATGCATTTCTCAACACTTACAAAGCTAGTTAAGAAAAGCTGAATTCAGCTATTTAAAACAGATTCACTGAAACAAATGGAAATATAAACAAGACCTGCAAAACCAAAATCTTGATCTCCAATAAGTTATACTCTCCCAAGAAAATAAACATGCTATAGGTCCTGAAATTGTTAATAAACTCCAGCTGTGTCTCAACCAGAGGGTCAAACTTGGCCCCCATCCCAAATAAAATTCAAACACTGAAGTCTATTGAAGTAAATTTAATAATAATCTTCCGTCTCCCCATCCTGAAACAGAATAAAGTGATAAACACTTCTACATGGGTATTAGGCACAACATTTTAATACTGTATTAAATTAGGGTTGGAGGCAGTGAGAATGTCCTCTCTGGGAACAAGGGAGTGTGAATGTTATGCAAAAATAAGTTAAAAAAAAATTCATCAGAGAAGTCTTTTTTACCCGACTTATTCTTAATAACAAGTAACCCAGGGCAAATGTACAGCCTCTGAAAATATAGTAATAATGAGGAGCTCTGCACTGTGCTACAAAGCATATCTGATTCCGAATCTTCTCCATTTTGAAAAAGGTGCAGTGATACTACCAAGATGTGGAAAAACACACTTACGTACAGTTCAGAAGATTAGAGGAAAAATTTTTATGACTGAAGAAGCCACCAGTGGCAAAACATTTTCTCTATTGAATGTCCAGAACTGTACATAAGTGTTTTTTTCCACTTCTCCTTTTATTTATAATATAGACTCAATGGGCCTCTCATTACAATGTTGGAGAAAAAGCAGCCCAAAATTCACTTAAATTTTTCCCAAACATGAGCAGATTGCCATCAGTTGAAGTGAAACAAAATCAGCAGAGTGCACTGCTAATGGATGCAATGACTGAATGTGATCCTGATCTTGTGGAACTAGACTACTCCTGTATAGCCCACATGAATGACAAAGGTGGAGAAGGGTATTTACAGTAACTAAGCCAATAAAGACTAGCCACTTTTCTTGAAATGATTACATGCAGAGGCAAATAACACACAGTTAAAGGTACGAGACAAAAAAGATTATTACCAACCTCGCCAATTGCTGGAAGTTTGTGAAGCAGCAACTGGAAAACCTGGGGAGGAAGGGTCTGTTGGAGCACCTGTAACAGCTGCTGAGGCTGTCCGCACACTGCTACAGCACGACTCAGGTGCTCCACACCAGACTCGATTTCTCCCTGTGCAAGTAGCTCTTCCCCAGCCTGAAATTAAAAAAAGAATTGAGAATAATTATGAGACAATCATATGGTTAGTTTTAGTGAAATGAAGATAAATACAGGAAGGCCCCATTTGTATGATAAGTGAAAATCGCCAACAAGTGGAAAAAAAAGCGTTTTCATTATCGAATGAATCTAAAATGCCTGATAACGTGTCTACACTTATATATTAACCCTTCGTCAGAGCCTGCTGGGAACCTGTCGTTCCCAGCAGCCCTGTGATGGCCTAATCAAGACCCACATAATACTAACATATGTGGATACCCAGAATGATATAAATCAACTGCAGAAATCACCCAGATGTACGCAAATTACCAACTAATAGGACTTGTATTACCACCTCCTGCCCCGCTGCCACTTTAGTGATACTCCACAATATTCACCCACCAACTATTGCCTACTATTCATTTGAAGCCACAGTCAATGGCCAAGGGTCAGAGCAATAAAAGAAGATCCAGTAACCAGCTAAGGACTCCTAACATCAAAGGTGAGACCAGCAATATCACGAGGAAAATTTCTCGTACTGCCAGCCAGGACACGACTCTCATCACCCACCTGCATCACCACAACACACGACAGACAACAAACATGGCCGCCACCTCAGTCGAAGATAACTCCTTCCTTGGATTTGATGTTAAGAAGATTACTGACCCAGAAATAGCTAAACTCCTTATGATTCAGAACCAAACAATCACCAAACTAACTCAGGAAATGCAGGAACTAAAAGCTTCCAATGCACAGTACCTCAGCAAGATCGCTGCTCTAGAACATAAACTAGACACTCTGGAACAACAAAGCAACACCCACACCCAGTCTGTAGACACCATCAACACACTAAAAGACCAAGTACCCTGCTTACTACCAACATTACAGAAGAAAGATCAAGAGTGGACCTACAACTTGCCAATGTCATCACCAACTTCCAAGACCATAATAACCAACAACAGCTATCTGATGCTGTTGTAGTTAACAGCAAACATCTCCCACCCACAGTCACCCAAGAGACTTGCATGGAGACCACTCTACAGCTTATCAAGGACCACCTTCGCCTTAACATACATAGTGATGACCTAAAGGATTGCCAACTGATGGGCTACCAAGCGGGTAAAAAAACAGTGCTGTTAAAATTCCAAACTAGCCTACAAATAAACAACCTACTAAAAACATCCATTCTATGAAAACTGATGTTTATGTCAACGAGTGCCTTACCAAAACAAGACAAAACCTCCTTTATCGGCTAAGAAAATTACGCTATGCCCAAAAATTCCACCAGTGCTTTCTGAGGGATGGAAAAATCGCAGTTAGGAAACAGCCCACTGGGAAGAGATACTTCATCTCTACAGAACATGACCTTAAAACATTCCTAAGTGAGGCTGGGTTAACAGAATCAGAGTAAGGTGCAGATAATACCCACTGTCCACCATTAGTGTTATATTGCCATAAATTTTGTTCCCCCCAAAATTCCAATACCCCAACTACATACTTTTGACTGTCACTTTTGTATTCAATGATCATTCTACCTCATAGTCTTAATTGTGTTTAATATCTACAGAATATCTCTCCTTTTTTACATCTTACCACTTCATTGTTCTATCTTATTTTAACCCTTTGACTGTCGCGGCCATATATATACGTCTTACGAGGTACAGTGTTTGACGTATATATACTCATAAATCCTAGAGGCTTCAAATCAAGCAGGAGAAAGCTGGTAGGCCCACATGTGAGAGAATGGGTCTGTGTGGTCAGTGTGCACCATATAAAAAAAATCCTGGAGCATGCAGTGCATAATGAGAAAAAAAAAAACTGAGCATTTTTTTTTAATTAAAATGCCGACTTTGTGGTCTATTTTCGTATAGTATTTATGGTTGTATTCTCGTTTTCTTGGTCTCATTTGATAGAATGGAAAACATATTATAGAAATCGAGGTGATTTTGATTGATTTTACTATAAAAAGAACCTAAAAATGGAGCTCAAATTAGGGGAAACGTTTGATTTTTGCCAATGTTCAAAAGTAAACAAATGATGTCATTGTCCAATAAATGTCCAACTAGCCATTCTAATATGCAGTCATGAATGGGTTGATGTTATTTATACAATTATTACAGTATTGCAGTAGTCTGCATAATAGTAAGTCTTCTATTTTTTGTTTGAATAAAAATTCAAAATAGAAAGCAAGAGTAATATCAGAGGGGCCTGGAGACGTGACTGATGAACAAAGAAAATGTTATTTTAGAGCCAGGAATGTCTGCATTGTTCATTCTGGACCTTATTTTGAAAATGTCATATTTTTTAATTTTTGTGAAATTGGCCGAATTGCAAATTTCTTACCACATTATTGGGTAGTTGAAATCAGTAAATGGGCAGTTTCTTGTACTTAACCGATAGAAAAAATGGAGTTCTAAAGAAATAGCTATGAGTTTGGTCGACTGGAACAACGGAATTAGCCGAAAATAGGGCTCAAAGTGGGCGAAATCGCCGATTTGTAAATATCGCCGAGGTCGCTAACTTCGCGAGAGCATAATTCCGTCAGTTTTCCATCAAATTTCGTTTTTTTGGTGTCATTACAGTCGGGAAAAGATTCTCTATCATTTCATAAGAAAAAATAATTTTTTTTTTGAAATTTTGCGATACCAGGAGACACCTCAGGATTGGGGGTTGCGACAGTCAAGGGGTTAATTGAAACTAACCATAGCATTGTCCTTCTCAACTATTCTACCCCACTTTAAGAAATACTGTACTCTATCGACCAATTTTATTTTAAAATCTCTATTATTGCCCAATTTTACTTGAAACTATATTGACCAATCTTACTGTAAACTTTTTATAATTGCCCATTTTTATTTTATACTTGAGTGCCCAACTTTATTGTAAACTTTTCATCTTATTATTGCACTATTCTAATCTAGAGTTAATTACCCAATCTTATTCTTGCCCAATTTTACCTTATACTTTATTGCCCAATCTATTTTAAACTTTTTATTATTGCTCTTTTTTATTTGTAAAGTTTATTACCCAATTTTATTATAAACTTTTTATAATTGCCCTTTTCTATTTTAGACTTTATCACCCAACTTTATTTTACTTTTCTTAACCTTTTGTTACGAAATTTTTAAGCTTGTATATTCAACTCCAACTTTTATATTATCCTGTGAACCATCTTACTATCGTATTATAACCAAGTCATTGCCATTTTTATTTTTTTATTTATTATTATTCTTTTGCTACCTTAACTTGTGTATTTTATCTTGTCAATTTAAATTTAGTTATACTCTAGTTCTTGTTAACAACTTATATAAGACCTTAGTGCAATTACAAGTGAGTCTTGTGCCATTTTAAACTAGTATTTTTTATATTATTAGATTAAACCTAGTTGTACTTTAGCTCATTCTAGCTCAATACATAAACACCAAATTCATTATATTAGACCTTAGTGCAATTACAAGTGAGAGTCTGGTGCTATTTTTAATTTGTATTTTAATATTATTAGTTCATACCTAGTTGTACTTTAGCTAATTCTAGCACAACACATAGACAACATCAACTTCATTATGTTTATTAGTGACTATACTCTATATGACCAAAGTGCTTTAGCTATATACTTGTCCAAACTTCCCACTACTACAGACATCAGTACAGGTCATCCATCACAAATCCGGCATCAATGGGACCTGTAGTGTGCCGGATTACTGAGTTTGCCGGATTACAGAATGGTTAGGTTAGAATACACTTAATAAAATTAATCAACTTGACTTACACAAAGTTCATTGAACATCGGCAAAAATCGAACATCTCCGCTACTTTGAGCTCAATTTCAAGGTACTTTTCGTCATGAAAGCAATCAAAATCATGTCTATTTCTGTAATATATCTTCCATTCTATCAAATGAGTCCAAAAGAATGAGAATACAGCCATAAAAAACATACGAAAATATACTGCAAAGAGGCAGCTAATGGCTGAGAAGTGAACTCCCTTATTTATTGTCCGTCTTTTTTATTTTTGTTGTACATTAAGAAGCATCTTTCCATCATACATTGCCCAAGTTTCAACGAGATAGCCCAACAAACAACCGAAAAAAAAAAAATATTTACCAAAAATCATATATGGCAAGCCCAAGCCAGGTACTGGAAATAAGTCACTTTGTCTTACTTTTCTGGGTTATCCTAGGTTCTCTATACATTCACTGCTATGTATGATAATCTATGTAACTGTATTTGTGTATACCTGAATAAACTTATTTACTTCTAGTCTGTCAACTGAGTACAAGAAACTGCCCATTCACTTATTTCAACTACCCAATAAAGTGGTCAGAAATTGGCAATTTGGCCGATTTCACACAAATTTCAACAGATGCCAATTTCAAAATAGAGTCCAGAATAAACAATGCAGACATTCCTGGCACTAAAATAACATTTTCTCTGTTCATTAGTCACGGCTCCAGGCCCCTCTTATATTACTCTTGCTTACCATTTGGAATTTTTATTCACAAAGAAAGAAAGAAAGAAAAAAAAAAAAAAAAAAAAAAGATGATTTCGTTATGCAGACTGCTGCATTATTGTAATAATTGTATAAATAATGTCAATCCATTCTTGACTCCGTACTGGAATTTGTACTGGCAGGTGGACAGGTATTGGACAGTGACGTCATTTGTTTACTCTTGAGCTTTGCTAAAGAATAGAACATTTTCGCTAATGTGAGCGCAATTTCAAGGTACTTTTCGTCATGAAAGCAATCAAAATCATATCTATTTCTGTAATATATCTTTCATTCTATCAAATGAGACCGAAAAAATGAGAATATAACCATAAAAAAACATACAAAAATACACCGCTAAGCGGCTGCTAATGGCTGAGAAGTGAACTCTGCTATTTATGGTCTGATTTCTTTCATTTTTGGCGTACGTTAAGAAGTATCTTTCCATCATACATTGCCCAAGTTTGAATAAGATAACCCAACAAACAACTGAGAAAATATAATAATAATAATAA